TGTTGTTGTTGTTGTTGTTGTTTTGTTTTTTCCACATCATCATGTGATACATATTAATAAAAATGACATTGGCAGGCATGTAGATCTGTCATTGTTTCTTCCGCCAAACCACCATGTTCTGTTTGTGTCAGATCTACAACTGCAGAGCTAGCAGAGGAAAACAATGTTGGTTGAGCCTTTGCCCTGAACAGGCCGACTGCAGGGCTCTTTTTGAGCATAATACCATCAGTCCCTCAGCAGCTCTTTGCAGTGAGCACTGTCGTTCCATTTTTGAAAGGAGAAAACTAAGACTAATAGCAGTGACTTATCCAAGATCATACAACCTGCAGTGAAACTGGGCTTTGATCCCTGGTCTGCCCAATAGGAAGGTTATCCGCAATCTTTCTACTTTAGTTGTGTTTGTCTAAAGGACATGCCCCTTCATCTCCCTAGCCTAGTAGAAAATCCAATTCAAGGTTGAAAAATGTTCTTCTCACTATTCAATAGAAAGAGCATTACAGTTATGGGTTCTTCTCTAGGCTCTAGAACCACAAACAAGTTCCTTTACTTCTCTAAGCCTCCTTTTCTTGACCTTGAAAATGGGGATGGGTTTTCCTACCCATACTGGTATTGTGAGGAAAAGATCTTGCAAAGCATCCAGCCCAGTTTGGGGCCCCTTGGAGCCCCCACCCCCACCCCCAACCATGCAGGTGTCCACCCTGGCTCACCTTGTTGTCTTCTTTCTCCATCCTTATCATCTATAAGGCAGAGCCAGGCGCACTGTGCCCTCCTCAAGAAGCTTGGATAATTCCTCCTACTCTTCCAGGGGTGTTGGAGCAGGGCCTCTAATTATCCCATCTCATCTTACCACAGACACATGGAAGCATCTACAATACTGGATTCCCCTTAGCTGGTAATCAGAACACATGGGAAGGCACACCTGAACCCCAGGTATCTGGGCCTCATTCAAAAGGTGAACCTAGGTCATCTGGATTTTCAACAGCCTGACAGAACCAAACCAGTTAGGGAGGAAATCTGGGTGACTGAGCAGATGCCTGAGGTTTAAAGAATCAATCCTTCTAAAGCATGACCCTGGGCTTGTCACCTTCCTGCTTTAAAAACTCCCAGACTCCCCAATCAAAGTCTCATTTCCTTTTCTTAATATTCAAGGCCTAAATCAACTGTTCATGACTCACCATTTTACGTAAATAACCAAGGTATTCTTCTTCTTAAATACATACTAGTGCTTTCAATGTGCAAGATACTGAGCACAAGTAAATATAGTAAAGACAAGCTGGCAGACACATGAAGGACACAGAAGTAAATACCACAAAGTGAGAAAAGTTACAATAGGGAGAATCCAGAGGACCTGAGGGCGTACTGTGGAGGGGTGAAGCCCCTCATCAGGGAGGCATCAGGGAGGCCTTCCTGGGGGAGGCACCATAAGATCAAACTCTGAGGAGTGGGAATTAAAAAGACTTACCAGGTGGCAGGAGGAAAGGAAATGCTTCAGGGGAAAAGAACAGCGTGTGCAAAAGCTCAGAGGCAAAACTACTGTAGTTGCACTCCCAGAAGTAGCATTCAGATAGATTCAATACAGAGAGCTTACAGCTCTGTGAATATGGGTAAGAGAACGAGAGCAGCGAGTCTCTGGAAACAAGAACAAGCCAGGTGTCTCAGCAAGTTTCAGCAGAACTTGGTGAGAAGGTAATGGTAACACATGAGACCTGAGAGGTATTGGAAGGGCAGACTGCTGAAACCAGGGAAAGGAAGGACTTTAGTACTCTTCCCTCAGCCAGGGGATGCTCATAGCCCCATCCCTCCCCCATTGAAATCTCCCATGGCTCCATAAAGCCTTTCTCAGTTCCCTCATTTGAAATGACCTCCACAGCCCTCCTCCCCTTGCACCGGGCTTCGTGCTGTTCCAACATGTCCCACCTTGCTCAGAGCTCCGTGTGCATTCTCCCCCCCACCAGCACCTTGGGGCTGTGTCTCTCTCTGTGTCCCCTTACCTTCAGTAAATGTCTCTGCTGTGAAGCAGTGTTCACCATGCTTTTACAATCATCTTCTATTCTAATAAAAAAAGAAAAACTTAGCACCCCTTCATTTTATCCATACATGTTTGCATAGCAATGTTTGATGTTCGTTGGGTGTTTACTGGCTGCCAAACACTGTTCTCAACATGTTGCTTGTTGTAATCCCTTTAATCCTCAGAGCAACACACACACAAAAAAAAAAAGAGTAGGTGCTCTTTTTTCTAATCTAAATTATAAAGATGAGGAAACTGAGGCACAAAGGGAAAAATAATTTGCCTAAGGTCATAAGCAAGTATAGGGCCTGAGTTTCCAATATAGGCAGTTGGCTCCAGAGCTCCTACTCCCAGGGCAGCCCTGCTGTGCTGGGAACATGCTGCATTGGTACAGCAGTGCATTTTAGTGCATGCATCCAAGAGTTCATGCATTGGTGTGTGTGTCTATCATAAAACACACTACATAGACATTTTTAAATCATGAGTTAAAAAATAAACATTTCCTAGTATTCTCTTTGAATTCTAGGAAATCATTCTGTGCACTCTGCCTTGAAAATCAGTGAATGTAGAAGATGCCAATAAATGAGAGGAAGGGAATTAAGGGGTTTTCAATGATTTCTGTATCTCACAGAAATGTCTCATACTTGTGAAGTTCCTAGCACCTGGTTGGGGGCTTCAGATATTAGTGATAAATATTCAGAGCAACCCTCAAACCTGGAGATTGGATGGAAGGAAGAAAAGGCAGGCATGGGGCCTGGGAGAATGCCAGGCTGGGCTCAACCCAGGGTCTCTGAAGTTTGTCATGGAACAACTTAATGCAGGAACTTTTTACTTGTTAAAGCTTCCTGGCTTTACTGGGGAAGAGGCTTTCACAGGCACCCTGAAACAACATATAGTGCTTCCTAGTTTGGTCTGAAAACTAACAATGCTGCAGGATCTGGTCCTAGTTATCTCAAGCTCATCAGAAGCTCTGATTGGAGAGTATAAGATGTCTTTGATTAATAAAAGATGAGGAAGTGGGTATTTGTTTGCTTAATAAATCCAGCCTGGTAGACAAAAATCTTTCCACCGTTCAGTTCTGTAGGGGAAGGGGAGTCGTGAAAGGGGTTCCTGGAGGGGTGGCTTTGTTCAATTTAATAAGCATTTGGTGAGCACTGACCTCAGGCTCCCACGTGCTCATGCACACCGTGTGTGCTCACATAGAGTATCTTTAGTCCTCACAGGAACTAAATAACAGGCAGGACACAGCGGGGTGGACAACTTATAAATAAGGAAGTAGAAGTAATTTTCCCAAGATCATATAACTAATAGAAAGCTAGACAGGCTGCAGTGGAACTCCAAAGCCCACTCCAAGAGTGCACCGTACCCCCAAAATGCACTGCATACTTTTATGTGGGGGACAGATACAGATAATTACACATATCGCAGGGCAAACACGATATTAGAATGGAAGACAAGGTCAAAGAAAGGAATGCTCCAGTCTATAGGTTTGGCTGATAAGTAGTGTCAAGGTAAATTGAGAATACTGGTTTGAACAATTGAATTTTAGCCTGAATTTTTTTAGTAAAGAAACCAAAACCAGGAGGGAAAAGCTATTCAGAGTTTGTACTGTGGTCATTGATTCCTACTCTTTCAATTGTCTTTACTGAACTTCTAAAATAAGGCAGTTAAATGGCATACAAAGCAACTCTATAAAGTGTGGTCATGCACAGTTAAGTTCAGGGATGGACATTAAGGTCACGGAACCTTCAAAGTCCTGAAAGATTTGGTGACTGTGAACTGAGTGGGAGTCTCTTTTGTGGACCAAATATGAAAAGCTTTTTCTTTGCCCCCAATAATCAGCAGCTCTCCATGACCTCTCCCTCTTAGAGTCCTGCCAAATTTTAGGATGCCATGGCACATCTGGGCTGCGTTATGCTTCCTAAGGGTCAGTCTCTGAAAAGCCACATGGAATACGATTATGTTGTGCACCTTCTATCAATCAAGGTGGGAGAAAATAAGCAGCCCTTGCTGCCAAGTGGATGCAATGTCTTGTACTGTATACTTTTATATGTCTGTGCTTGTGTTCCCTCTCTTGTAGATGATGTACTGCACACGTTGAAAGGTCAGCCACAGACAAGACTGCAAATTACCTGAACTCAAAAGTCTTGTCCCAGGCCATCACCTCCTCCTTCTGAAGAGTTGAGAGTTTGCTTTAGAACTTTAGGAAGCCAGGACCTTTGAATCATGACATAATAGAACCCTGGAGTCATATTGTCCTAATATTATAGAATATTGTCATATTCAACTTTCAGAACTTAAGAATCCTAGTGTGTTAAATTCCTGAAACAATTCTATTTAACATATGTTTCTTTAGTGTGAGGTTTCAAGAATCATAAAATGTTAGATTCTTAGAAAAGTAAAACATTAGTGTGTTGAAATTCTACAATGCCATAGGTGGAAGGGAGCCCTGAATCATTCTTTCCAACTCTCACTGCCTTTTATGAGGCCCAGAGCTTGTTCCAGGCATGTTGGATTAAAACTCTCTAATAAGAACATCATTAAGGCTCGGTGACATCACAGACGGGCCAGTTTGTAAGGGCTGAGAGATCACTCAGTCCCGACTGCTCTTTTTACCCACGAGACACTGAGACTCAGAGAGGGCAGCAGTTTTGATGGATCATATAGCCCAGTCAGAATTAGACCTCAGGGTTCCGGGCGTCTCAAAAAGAACAGGCAAACCAGGGAAGGTGCCCCTAGAGTGTTTCTGAGGTGCCCTTTGTGAGCTGCACAGACTTTTGCCTGGACCCTGCTCTTCAGAAGGAGTGTTCACCAACTCTCTGCGGAGGTACCAGCCCCGCCCAGGCCACGTGTGCAGTAGATCGCGCAGTATTGGGAGCCTCCTCCCCTGTTGATACGTGTTTTATTTTGCTCCCTCCCCTTCCCCGTGTGCCTCCGAATCAATTTTCATTATTTTTTTTTTTCTGTCTGTGTTTGTCTTTGTGGTTCGCAGGTGCTCCCTTGCATTGTTCATCCGCTTCTTCAACCCCTATTGAGCAGTCCCCCTCCCCGCCCCCTTCCCCTCCGGCCAATGAGAGCCAGAGGCGGTTGCTAGGCAACGGTGTGGCCCAGCCAACCCCGGACTCAGACTCTGAGGAAGAGTTTGTCCCTAATTCATTCTTAGTTAAAAGTGGCTCCGCCAGCCTGGGGGTCGCAGCAAACGGTAAGTCCCTCTCTCTTCCTAACTTTTGTGGGTTTGTTTCTTTTATTTCCTTTCGTTGACGATGCCTGCTTGGGCCGCCTGCTGGGCGGAGGGCCCCGATGCACGGTGCACATGCACGGTGGGCTTGCGGGCAGTCAGGCGCCAGGAGGCTCCACCGGCTGGAGCAATCCAGCTCCTGCTCCTGCCTGGCGTCAGAGGCTCTATAGGAGCGTGGGGGGAGCTGTTGCTGTCCTCCTCCTTGGCGACAGACTCCAGCAGGCAGGTGCACCGACAGAGGTGCACAGACACCACGACAGAAGCATCAGGTAGAGCTCCAGGCAGGTGAAGATACAAAGATCGTCAGAGAGGGCAACGGGGAGTCCAGATACAAATAACACTGATTGGCTTCCTACTGTGTGCCAGGAACTGTGTCAGCACTGTCACCTGTTGCTTCATTGGATTCTTACAACCCTTCCTACCAGATCAGAATTAGTGTCCCCATTAACAATGAGAAAACTGAGAGAAGGAGTCCTACCTGAAGCCCAGCAATAGCTTTGAAAGTTCCGAACTTTTACACAGTCTGGAGAGGGGACTCTGAAGCCCCAGGCGGTGGCAGGGCTGAATGCTGGCTGAGACAGAGCCACTGCATTTCAGTATGGATCTGCCTGTGACCAGCTCTTTTTCTCAGCTCTTCCCTGGCTTTCTTTAAGGAGAGGAGGTGAGTTGGGGTCAGTGGGAGAGTTCCAGGCTGACCGAGTTCACCTGGGCCAAGATGCTTGCCCTGTGTTCAACAGAGGCCAGTCCATTTCTTTGCAAAAATGTTCTATAGGGTATCCAAGCCTCTGAGGAAGATGAGGAAGCCTGGGATCACTCTAATGGCCCCCAAACTTCCTGATTCTAGCAGAATAAATGAGGCTGTTTTCCCGCAATTAATACTGTAGGTTATGTTGACATGGCAAACATTTATTTATAAGTGCCCATGCAGTACTGAGTTTCAGACAGGATTCTGGAAATGGAGGCAGAGATATGGAGAAGTATAAGGCAGAGTCCATGGGGTCTGGAATCAGTCATCTCTGCATTAGATGTAGGCTTTATTGCTTTAGGACTTTGGAAACATCTCCCTGTCTTTCCAAGCTTGTTTCCTCAAGCATAAAGTGGACAATATATTAGCCAGCTCCTGATGAGCACCCATCACAGTGCCTGGGACAGAGAAGAAGTTTAGCAAATATTGATGCCTTTCCCAGGCACCTGCAGTCTTCCTCTAGAGAACTTTTACAGCCCACCTGAAAGCAACCCCATGCTGCCAGGCACTTAGGCAAGCTCCAAGAAGGCCTTCATCAGAGGCCCTCATTTCACAGCCCAAGGTGATAAGGGAGGATGGAGCCTACCCAGGATAAAGCCTCTACTGCCTGAAGGAATTAGGAAATGCATCTTGGAGGAGGTGCTAGTTGGATCTGAAGGAACAATCTGCCAGGCAGTGGTTACTATGGGCAAGAATAACCAAGCGTCCTCTGAACAGAAAGAAAATGTGAAAAAAAAAAAAAAACTGGAACTGGGAGCCTGCTTAAATGTGGGAACCTGGGCCATAAACAGGCACAGACCTGGAAGGCCACATGGTGAAAGTCACCTGAGCCCCTCTGGGTACAGAGTCAATCCCCTAGCCAGGACCTCTCCCAGACTCCACTGCTGTCAAGCACCAGAGTGATCTTTGGCCTTCATGGTTCTCCTCTGACAGGACTTTAGGCCCTTCCTTCTCTATGACCCACACCCAAAAGATCCTCCAGGGCCCATTCCCTGTGCTCTCTGAGGGTGGCACTTTCTTTTCAGTGATTTGGTGCCCATGTTTCAAATGGTGTATGGAAACAGGAACCCTAGGCTGGGAGTAAGGAGACCTGGGTTCCAGGCCCAGCTCTGAGCTTATTGGCTACTTGTCCTTGTTCTATTCCAGGCCTCAGTTTCCCCATCTTACCAATGATGGAGCAGTTTCTAAGGTACTCTGGTTTTATGAGTGTCATGTGGTGCTGTCAGAGTTATCTCTGCCAAGAGCTTTCTTTAGCTTATTAGGAATGGGAGAAACGTTATATATATTTATTAAATATAATATTATATAATATATATATATACTTTTTTATACATAAGCTTTGCAGGTACGAGAGAAGGCAGGAGATTAAAGTCCTTAATCTCTCCCTTTGTTAATTAACTGAAATAGAGCAATCGCTTTATTGCAAATTCTGGGGCAAGCTGAGGTGCTTCTGCTTTACTGATGTGCAGGGAAGATGGGGATGGGGGGACTTTGGCCTATAGATCTCTGCTCAGTTTTACACCTCAGGGCTCCTGCTCCCTGTGGGGTTCGAGACATTAGGAATTGCTTCCCTGGAGCCTTGCTCTGAGTATCACTCTAAAGATTGTTTTTAAATGTGTCCCATGCCTAAAGGGAGATTCTAGGTCCTTATTGGTCGCCTGCTTTAGGGTTGGGATCCTGGGAGAAGCCACTGCATCTGGCCTATAGCTATCCCCTGCCTGCTTCCACCTGTCTCCTGCAAGCCCAAGCCAGAAGGTCTTCTATATACTGAAGGACCTGCCGGTGCTGACATGAGTCTAGCACTAGTGAGGGATCATGAGTGGGGGTCCTGCTACATCAGAGTGCAGTAAAGTTGGAAGAGTTTGGTATGCTTTCTTTAAAAAGAAAGGGGGGTGGGAAAGAATAAAAGAAAAAGATAAAGTATCTTAATGAGTTTATGAGCAGTAGTATTTTGCTAATTATAAAAGGAATGATGCTCGTTGGCATTCAGATAATCCAGAAGGGTAAAATGTGACCCACATGTCATCCTTATTCCAGAGATAACAACATTTAACACCTTTGTAGATGGTCTTAGGGATACTTATTATTCAATGTTCATTGAAGAAGTGAATGAATGAACCAGTGAGCAAGCAATGCAAACTACACACCACTACAGGTCAGCAGAGACGGCCCTGGAGGCTGTAGACGCAAACCTGAAACTGGATTCCTGATGTGGGACCCCAGGCAAGGTCCTGAACCTCTCTGATCATCTGTTCCTCCATCCCTGAAATGGTGGGGAGAAAACCTTCCAAGTTTGTTAAGGAATCTAAAGACAAAACTGTTTTAAAACCTCCCTAACTACACACCCTATTGCCTGCCACCAATTTAAGGCTTTAGAGACCACCCTAAACAGATCAATTACTTTAGAGCCGCTTTCCCTCAGATTTAGTTGGGAATGCATTTTAATGACAAAGGATGCCCCTCTGGCTCCTGAAGGGTGAAAATTTGGCAGCTTCCTGTGGCGAAGCTGACCTCTTGAAAAGGCCTTCCCAGCAGCCAGGCTGCCTCTCTCTGGCTCCCCTGGAGGCCCGCTGCCTGCAGCTGTGTCAACTCTAGCCCAAAGCTGGGACCCCAGGCCTGAGATGTCTAAGAACCACCCTGCGAAAATCCCCATGTAAAGTGCAGAGAGGACACATGGGGCATCCCAGCACAACTCACAGTCCCTGTGGAAAATAGGGCAAGTGGCTCTTTGTCATCAGGAGCCTAATCCTCCCCCAAGGGCACTCATCCAGAAACCACTGATGTATAGAAAGAAAGATTTCACTGAAACATCAACTGGTCGCTGTTGAGAAGCTAAGGAAGTGGTCAGGATTAAGTAAGTATTTGTCCCTATCCCAAAGAAACTTTTCAGAATAAATATTAAATGCTTCTTGAGTTGTTCTAATCTCAATTCTAAAGAGAGGGGACTTTGAAAACTTGGGAGTTAATATTTAAGAGGGTCAGGGAAGGCTGTTTAGAGTTCCTCAAAGGCCTAGGGGTGGGGGAATTGGTGTCCTAAGGTCCCCTTCTGTGTATCAGATTGTTCTTTTTGTGCATAATCTTATTTAAGCTTCAATTTATCTCTATTTCACTGTTTGGGAAACTGAGGCCCAGAGAGTGGCAGAGACTTGCCCTTTGCCCTGTTTCTTTTAAGGGACATGGGCAAAGATTCAAAACCAAGCCTGCGTGACTCATCATTTCTTTCTTTCTTTCTTTCTTTCTTTTTTTCCTTGTCTTTTTCATTTCACTTCCAGTACTAGACTCTGTCATTTTTGTCCCCTCCTTAGTAGAAGGCTGGAGAGGACAAGAGGAATTCTATATAAGCTGTGCCATGATGTCTCTTGTGTCCCCTCTCTGCTTTTAAAAGAATTCCTCATTGTTGGATGCCTATCACTACAAAACCTTGAAGAAGCATGTTAGAAGCATTTTGTTTTGTGGAATCATTGACACCACTTATCTATCCTATGATATAACCCTGGTTTAATCTCATTGAAGTAATAAAGGCCCAGAGAAGTTCATTTCCTCCTCTTAGTCACACAGCTTCTAAGTGATACAGTCAGATTTGAACTCCAGGGCTGCCTGATACCATAGCATGGAATCTTTTCATTGTGTTTTTGCAGGAGTTTCAGAGGCAAATCAGATCAGAGAACTTAGACATTAAATTTTGTCATAGCTTCCAAAAAACAGGACTATCCCTGACTCCCCTCCACTCCACCCCAGCCACCCCAGCACCAGATCCTTCCTGCCTCTCCTTAGAAAATTTCTCACAGTCAGCATCACTATTGTTTGGCAGTTTGATTGACTTTCTAGGGTCTTAAGCAGCTGGGATTATTTTGTTTTGACTTCCAATCCAGTGGAGGAGTGTTTATTTTTCTTTTCAATAGGAAACACTGAGTATATGTAAGCTCCTTCTAAAAGTGTTTTCTTAAAACAATATAAAAAATTCAACTTAATTTAGAACCTATCCAGAGTCCCTGGGGGGAGACTGCCCAGGTCCTTCCAAGTCAGTTTGTGAAATGCCTGTTTCTAAATGTTGAGGAAAGTGTCCAGTGAGATTTGTGTTTTTCTCCTTTCACCAAGAATTTCATAGAACCTGCTTCTGTTGTTCTGCACCAACTGCAGTTTCTCGGGTCTGCTGGCTTAGCAAGTTTCGAGGATAAAGGGTAAAGTCTTCAGGCAGTTTGGTTCACCATTGCTCTCA